TTATTTATTTATTTATTTATTTATTTATTTATTTATTTATTTATTTAAGAGACTTATATGGCTGCTCATCTTATGTACCATATCCCTGGGCGGCTTATAGCACCAGTGATAAGAACGTGAAAAAACAATAAAACCCAGGGTCTAAATAAACAACTCTCGGCACCCTAATCCAACACTCCCAATGAATAAAAAACCCACAATCACTAGGCTCCAGCCTCACCTCACCCCAGCGCTTGAGAGAAGAACCAGCTTTTTAAAATTCCTGGGAGGCAAGAAGGGTGGGGGCCTGCTGGATCTCAAGGGGAGGGTGTTCCACAGGGCAGTGGCTGCTGCTAAGAAGAGGTGCTCCCTAGGTCCTGCTAGATGACAACATTTGAGAGAAGAGCCTGGAACACGCCCACCCTATCCAATCTGGTAGAACAGGCAGGTGCCCTCAGGGAGAGATGGTCCTGCAGATAACCTAACCCCGTGCCACATAGGGCTTTAACGGTGATAACTGCACCTTGAATTGCATCCTGAATGAAACTGGAAGCCAGTGTAGCTTGCACAGCAGTGTTGTAATATGGGCGATCCAACAGGCACCCAAAACTCTGCGCTGCTGCATTCTGGACTAGCTGTAATTTCTGGATGGTCTTCAAGGGCAGCCCTATGTAAAGGGCTTTGCAGGAATGAACACAATTGCAGCATGAGACATATTTGTGCAAAGGGCCTTCTAGCCACACTGCTACGTGCTCCTCAGGCGGGAGCCACAAGTCCAGCAGGATCCAAAATTGCACACCAGCTGTGTCTGGGGAAATGCTACTCCATCAAGAGCAAAAAATGACATCTCCAGGATACCAAAATCCCAATGCCACTCTGTTTTGCCATGATTGAGTCTGAGCTGGTTCCTCCCTATCCAGACCTCACAGACTCCAGGCAGTGAGTCAGCACCTGAACGGCACTGCCTGCTTGGCCAGGGGTGAAAGTGTATAACCTCATGCTGCCAAATGACCTTGCCCAGCAGCTTCACGTAGATGTTAAAGTGAAGCAGATAGAGACCTGAATCCAGAAGTAGTCCACACAAGAGATGCCTAGGGTTGGACCTCTTCCCCTCCCCCCGAACACCAACTGGAACAAGCTGCCCCTACTCTCAATCCTCAAAGCTGGTCCAGAAGGATATCATGGTCAATGGTATTGAAAGCTGCTAAGAGATCCAGGTGGGCCAAGATGGTTGCACCACCCCATCCCAAGCCCTCCAGATGTCATCCACAAGCACAACCAATGTCGTCTTGGTACTGTAACCCAGCCTGAAAAGGGTACAGATAATCCACTTCATCCACAGCCCACTAAGCTGAGTGCTTAGACTAAACAAAAGTTGTCTAACATCTTTGGGCCTCAGGAGGGTGTCTTGAGAAAAGGGCACACCACCACGTTTCAAGTCAGGTGGTACTACTTCTCCCACTATGAGGACCCAACCACATGCCACCACCTGGGAGGCCTTAACCAGCCAGGAGGGGCATGGATCCAGAACGCAGGTGCCAAACTCACAGTCGCAAGGGCCCTGCCCACTTCCTCTGCATCAATCAGTTCAAACTTTTCCTAGGTAACTGAGCTCAGAGGAGCCTTAGGCACTTCCACAGGATCTGCCCAGCTGGAGTCCAATTCCAAATGAAGCTGAGTGACTTTCTTTGACAGATACTAGAATATTTCTCACAGCAACCCACAGGGGTTTCCCTGGCCCCTCCTTACAGAGCAAGGACCTGGTCACCTGAAACAGGGTCTATCAGTCGCCTGGGGCATGCTGACTGAATAGAATCAATAGCTGAGCTCAATAGCCGGACTCCAAAATTAAATTGTTGAAAACTGCCTAATTAATGTCGCTCTTTCTAGAAGAAGGACTAGGGAAGGGAAATCACCTCATTTATTTGTGCAATGCCTATTTCCCACCTCATTCCTCTCCACACACAAAAAAATCAACTTTAAATTCAATTCATTCCTATGTTACCAAGGCCTTACACATATTAAAAAACTAATCCCAGCCTGAAAGGAGAGCAAACAACTGAGAATCACACACAGTCCAGATACTATCAATGGATCTAATTTGCGCTTGTCCCTCTATTCAAATTCTGCAACCAATCTACACAAGGGAATGCAAATTTTGGCCAAGCTTTTTGCTAAGAATGAGAATGTGACTCTGGCTGTCTCAGAGGAAGCAGTGCAAACTCCAGGAAGTCACTGCCTGTGAATCCACAAAGATCATCAGCAACTCATTTCAAGGGCGTCTCTGCATTCAGTGGCTAGAAAAGTCTTTTTTTTTTTTAACCTTCTCCACTTTGCTATTCTGTTCACAGGTTTATATTTCTGGAACTAATGCAAATAAATATGCAGAGAGTTTCTTAACATTTTCAAGACCAGAGAATTATACACCAAACAAGATTGGCTTTAAAGAAAATAATAATAATAATGATGATGATGATGATGATGATGATGATGATGATGATGATGATGATGATGATGGGGACTGTTTCTTTTAAAATAATTGAAATAATACATGCTGTAATAACTCAACTTGCTCTAGGGAATGAGGACATGGAACAAGCACCTTCCTCCCCATCTTCACATAACTCTCTCCTTTTTCCTGTCTTCTCCTTTTATCAATCACAGCACTCCCCTGCTATGACCCTCATCTTATTTCCCTTCTGGCCTGATGGGAAGCCTTTTGGAATCCAAGAAAGGCTCAAGGGTTCACTTCCATGCTACTTGAGTTGTCTCTTTTTCAGCTCAGTCACAAATCTTTCTGAATAATCTCTGCAGTCCTGAGCATATTAGAAACACAGGATTTAGAGGCAAGATTTATTGCATCTGCAATTCTGCATGGTTATCCTATTTATAATTGGTACAGCTTATGTCCAGCATTCTGAGTGCAGATGAGAGTCGAGAATTTCAATTCAATATATGTTCCTTTAGAAGTAGCCTCACTGGATAAAAAAACTGATTTCAGGTAAGAAGCATACTGTAGTTCCCTGAAAGGAAGACAACTCTGAATTGAAGATGATCCCACCTCCTTCACCAAACGGAAGGGTACAAAAAATGAAAATGGACACAGGCAAAAATCCTATGCAATTTCCAGTTTCCTTATGTTGAGAATCTAGGATTGTCAACACCAGCTGGAACCACTCTTGGAGATTCAGTTGCAGCTCTCTCTCTTTCACTTGCTCTCAAAACACCATCATCCTTTATTTCTGCCAAATCTAATTGTGCCAAATCAAATGGCTCTCCTTCTTGCCTCTATCACAACCCCTGTGAGAGCCCAGAAAGATGCTGCTTCTTTAAGAAGTTGTCAATGTGTGTGACCTGCCTGTCTGTGCATGCTCCAATCTACCTTTTCCCTTTCGAATTTGGATCTCGGCACAACCCTAGACACCAGTCCCAAATTACCTTCAGATCATCTGGAATGAAGACTTTGCGAGCTTTCTTAATCATCGGCTGGGGCTTGAGCTCCTCCTCAGAGAACTTGCGCTTGCGAGGGTCAAATATTTCCTGGCCAGGAATGCTAGAAAGAGCGAGATCGGCAGGGTCGGGTTCATACCCAACTGGAACCTGAATGGTGTCGGGATCAATGGGACTTGGCGTGTTTCGGTTTGTAGGCAAGATCTGACCTGAAGAAATCAAAGGAATGATGCTTTGAAACAATACAATAATAATATTGCTCAGTTAAGCAGCTTAACCCCTGCAGATTATAATCTGTCACATTTCCACTTTCTTGTCTTCTAAGTAAGTTGGTGCTTACACCCCCTCTATACAGGGAAGCAAGCCCTGGTCAGTTTGCAATATACTTTGCCTTCCCCCTACTTTCAACGGGATGCTTTCAAAGCCACACTCATTGGGCTGCTTGAGAACATAAGAAGAGCCAGCATTCCGTCCCAGAATGGTTAACTAGATCCATTCGGGAAGCTCAGAAACATGGGCAGGGGGGCAAGTACCCTCTTCCACTACTGTTCTCTAGCAATTATTATCAAGACATACTGCCTTTGATCCAAGATGCGAAGCTACGAAGATGAGTATCAACTGATAAACACCCTACTATTACTACAATTATTTGGTGGACACTGGTGTTGATATCATAGAACAGTCTTTTACAAAACTTAGATCGAGACACAATGAGAAGCTTCGATTATACATGTCTCCAACCAAGAAAGGCCTTAAGGACTGCATCATACTGGATTCCAGTTTACCTTTCCTGTTCTCACTTAAGCCCCATTAGCGATTGAGATGTTGCAATGGGAGCAGGGAGACCCAGGTTCAGGTCCATCCTTAGCCAGGGAAGCTCCCTGGTTGAGTTTGGGCTGGGAATTCTCCCTCAGCTGGTCTACCTCACAGGGTAGTTATTGTGGTGAAAAATAAGAGGGAGTGCTATGTATCCTTCTTTAAGCTGCTGAATGAGAGATGCAACAGAACACAAATAAAATAAGCCAGAATACCTTAACATATGAGAATGAAAGACCATATCCTGTAGCTCTGAGGATGTCACACACATGCCATCTATTGGATGCACCAACACCCAGAAAAGATTCCTCTTGTGAGTGTGATGCTTGGGATGAGGCAACTCAGCATGGCTCCATCCAGATTCACATATGGAAGTAAGCAAGTTTTACTAAAGCTTGAATAAGGATTGCGAATGGTCAAGAATATGAGCAGACCAAGTCAAAATGTGTACCTCTCCTGGGATGACTTCAAGTCCTAATTCTGAATATTGGCTGGCACTTTCCACAATATAGACCAACCGCTGAAAGTCAAGGGCATGCTAAATTATTAGGTGACAATTCATCACTTAAAAAAAAAAATAGGAGCAGATAATGGAAATAACATAGATCTCCTCTTTGCTTTATTTTGCAACTACTGCTCACATTCAGCCAACCCCACTATGTAAAATATTGCCTCAATCAGCCAGGTAGCATGCAGTAGATCCAGAGTGGTTGATAAGGCTGGAGAGAAAGCAAGATTTCTCCCGTTATGTTATTAAATTAATGTTTATAAAGTCTATATGCCACTTCAAATAAACCTTGAAGTAGAAAAGTTGGACACGGAAATGCCCAATCAGCACCTGTTCTCTCCTGAACAGCTGATTGGTCATATGGACTGTTGGTGCACTGTCCCCTAAAAATCGGATTACCTAAGGAAAGCTAGGATCCATTTGTGCAGATCTTTCTCCATCCATATGCTCATTTCCTCATCTTGCTTCCGTATGCATTACAAGTGACACATCTCTGACCCCTACATGCTTTGTTCTTTGTCAGCTGGGGTTTGTGCTCAAAACAGAAAAATAATCTCAAGTGTGAGCCTCTCAAGTTGTTTGTTCTAGTACATTATGTACCGCTTTCCAAAATAACAGGACATTACAGGAGAAAGGGGCAAAGTGGTAAAGGAGATAGAGGAAAAGTTGTCTTTGTAGGGCAGAGACAAGTTGATTCAATGGATTTTGTATCTTGTCTAGTGCCTTCTGTAAGTGGTTGCAATAGCATTTGCTGGCAGGAAGGGCTGGGAAGCACTGGGGAGAAGAGAGATGGATTAAAGGCACATTTCTGACCATTTTCTTTCTTTTTTTTTACAAAAAGGGGAGATCAAGGAATTCAGTCATCAACTCTTGTATCAATAATAGAATATTTTCTTCTCACACTGTGGGCCAGAATGCTTGATGCCAAGGTGCTGAAAAGTGGGCATATCCTGTTTTAGTTTTGCTAACTGAACAGATGATAACAGTGACAGTAAAATCGAAAGGTTGCATTTGATGATAGGCTTAGCCTTGTTTACCTACCTAATTTGCGGCAGATGCCAAGACGCCTCCTCCGAGGTTGAGCAGTAAACTAAGAACTCTTGGTTCAAGCCCAGCAACCCACCTGCTCCTTCAGACTTTCTCCAAGAATATCATTATAATAATGGCTGGTTGGACATATTTTATTACATTCAGAGCACTCTGCATAAAGTTATGTTCAAAATGCATTATATACTGTAATCATCCACCAACAAATATGGACATTTTCATGCAACTGAGGCACTTCTATCTCACGTGAGTGATATGTGCAATATTGGCTGTGATATTCTGCAATGCTCTTTGAACACATCATGTCTGAACATAGCATGAGAGCTCATATCCTATACTGTTCTCATGCTCTGGCTTGTAGTGCTTTGATACCAAATACAAGAATGTGGGATGTTTCCAAGAAGATGCGTTTTGCATCCTGCTCAACTGGTTGCATCAATTGCACCATTTCCCCTCAAAATTGAACTGTGAATTCCCATGTAAACTTGCATTGAACTGCAGTCCACAATGTACACTGCTACAGGATTTGAAAAAGGTGCCAATCCCCCTTTCATAGCTCTCTATACTGGTGTGTGCATGTGCAAGTAGGATCTTCCTTCCATCTGTGAATGAGAGATGTTTCTCCTGATCTTTTTTCATACATTTAATATTAAATACTGTGGTTCTTTGTGATATTTCTCTATCAGGGACAGGGACATAGCTTTGATAATAAGATTGCCTAACAGCAGTCCCTCTGTATAATGCTACAGCTCAATCCACTAACATGGTTTCCATGCATGGACAAATTATGTCTGTAACCAGTTCACAATGATACAAACATGTCTATTGAATCTTTTGTGGGATCCATTCTTGTGTCTTAGTTTGGGATGCTTAAATTCTCTTCAGTCCAAGGTGGGTCAAAGGAGGACAGTGTAGAAAAGATCACATGTCTAGCAGAAAGAGCAGAATAATCCTGCATCAGCAAACTGTGCAGCTGTGACAACACCCACTACAAGAGATGGTCAGCAGACCAGAAAGGCTGCAGGGTAGGATCAGCAGGATTTCTCCCTAAAGTTAAGGCAAATATTTGGTTCCGCATTATAACTCTCTGAAGCTGCTATTCATGCTCACTTTTGATTCTAATTCTACCTTAATTAAGCAGATAAATTCAGCTGAACAGAAGGCTGATCCACCCACTGAAAATGAATATACAATCAATTGGATGCTCAGCAGATGAGACGGTGCCACAACTTTATTACTTCTCCTGTACTAAGCTGGTTTTACATCTATGGGGAGGGGAACTAAAGGAAATATTACTGAAAACAGAAAGTCCAATGGTGAAATTTAAGCAAAATACCACCTTGAAATGCATTGCATCTTCCTTCCTGCCTCCTATATTTAAAATGAAGATAGTTGTTATTGTTATATGTAACATAAAGATAACCATTGACTAGTAGCCTTCTTCAGTACTTACTGAGACCTCAGACAAATCAAAAGATTAGCACAACTAATGAAAGAATGTCTACTATATGCCAACCTCCTGCATTATTTCAATAGGCTACTGGCTTTGCCCAGTTCTGAATCCAATTATTTAGAATCATCTGGTCATCTGCCCAAATCTGGTAGGAACTCCTAGTTTTTCTTAGGCACACCCAACTGGGTCCATGTTTTAGACTTCATCTTTAGTGACTGGGCATGTATATATATATATACAAAACTACAAATGTATGTATACAAACAGATAAAGATGTAAAACAGCCTTGAATTTATTTAGCCACTAAATGCCTGTTCAATAAAACATTCATGTCTTCCAAGATGAAGTAGATCAATTTACATCGCATTGTTGCAGAAGTATTTCTAAGGATAAGTGTTTAGATGAAGCAAATGCTTTATCTCATGAGAATACCTCTCAATGCAAAAGACTGGAGGGACCCTCGTGGGACAAAGAGAAATTAAGATACACATGGTAGAATTCTGTGACATGCTGGCTGGAAATTGTAGCCTGACACATCTGGAGAACCAACAAAGCCTGAATGAGCTACATTTAAGGAGTCAGGGATTTCAATACTACCTCCCAACAAGCTGGAGAATTATGTCATTGGAAGGAAGAGGAATGAATTGGAGGAAGGGGTCCTCAAATGCTTAAGACTATATATGGAAAGAGGTAGGAGACAAACTGCATCAGTTCTCACCTTTAAACCCAACTACCCCCCATGTAAAAACAAAACAAAATTGTGCCACTGATTTTCAGTATGATATGGTCAAATTTCTGTAGCACAAATCTGGGTATTTTGGGAGGAATACTTGGGAAGGGGCTAAAGGGGATTTGTGACTTCCATGACCACCCTTAAGTTTACAATAATGACAACAACAACAACAAGCTTGCATCTTCCAAAATGGGCCATTTTGTCACCAAATTTAATTAATGGGATTTCAGGATGTTTATACCAGTAGTCCTCAAGTTGTGATCATTCATTCAGTGACCATTCAGTTATGACAGTGTGAATGAAGGGACTTAACGACCAGTCCTTGAAGTTCCAGCTGTTGCAGAGCCTCTGCAGTCACATGAACAAAATCCAGGTGTCTGGCAACCACCTCACACTTAAAACTAGTTGCAGCATCCTGCAGTCACATGATTGTCATTTGCGCCCTTCCCTGTTGGCTTCCCACAAGCAAAGCCAATGGGAAACCAGCAAGAAAGGTCAGAAGTTGCTGGAGTAAGTCTCTCCCACCGCCAGCCTTTCTTTGCTCGCAAACACTGCACCCTCCTTCCCCCTTTCACTCGCACACACCCAGCACTCTCTTTCCCCAGCCTCCCTGCACTTGCACACACATGTATGCATGTACCCCATGCCCTCT